CCCAGCCAAGCCACTAGCCAATGGCAACTGTGTAAATGAGCAAGGAGAGATCCACAGAACTTCCCAGTTGAATTCAGCCCAATTCACCAAGCCACAGAATTGTGATCTAATAAATGATTGTTGAGGTAAAGGCTAACTAATATGTAATAAAATCCATATGACCAAATCAAAATGAAGTAAGAAATAAAGAACCAGTGAAGAGCAAATACAGTAAATACTGAAATTCAAGAAATGATGGATAAAATTAAAAATAAATATATAAAGCCTGACAGAGTAAAAAAAAAAAATCATATAAGGAAAACTTAGAAGTCTGAGAAAGAGGTAGCAGACAGTGAGAGTGTTAATTATCTTCAGTAGCAGGGAACTCAGTACTAACCAATGTTGAAACACATAATTTGAAGGTATTCTGTCCTACTAATGATTTTTATAATTTTGTTTAATCGTTGAAAAGTCTTTTATGAATTACTTTTTCCTGTGAAGTAACATGCATCTGAGCAGTTTCGCCAATGTTTTTTTTTTTTGCTCAATTCGAGTAAAAATAAATTTGACACTGTATGTTTAAAATAGTATTTGCAGAAGGAGCCTATGAATACTAATGTCACCTCATGTATCTTTTTTCTATCCTTCTATCTGTATTTGTATAATAACATTATTCACCAAACATGGACAATTTAATTTCTGTGATAGTAAAATCGAGATAATTTGAACTTTTCTGTATTTCTGGAACTTTTATAAAGGGTTTATATTATTTTTATAAAGATAACAGTTGTAAAATGAGTTTATAAGAAGTTTCACAAACTATCTCAGTGGGAAGGAGGCATTTGCTTCAGGAATATTCAAATGGCATTATGCTCTTGGATGTGATCTGTCTAAATTGCTGGTTCTCAATTATGACTACACATTATAACCACTGAAGAGCTTTTTAAAAATCCCAATGTCTAGGCTTCAGCCCAGACCCATTAAACAAAAATCTCAGAGGGTTGGGCCTGGGAATTGATAGGTCTTAAATGTTCCCCAGGTGATTTAGATGTTCAACTCTGGCTGAGAATAACTTGACTCAACAGGCCACAGAGACACATTTCCAAAGTGTAAGGCTTATGACTGGAAAGCCAGAATACTCCATTCTGTCGCTCCTCTACCCCAAAGGAGGATCTGCATCAGGACCAGTTAGTGGTAAGGAAGAAAGAGAGAACAAATAACTACTTAGGTTACTAGTAGTCTCTGCCTCAGCCACAACCTGATTTCTCTTGCATAAGATGCCTGTCAGCAGGAACTGAGGCAACATGTGTTCATGTTTACATCCAGGAGAGAGAGAAAGATGGGCTTTCTTTCCCCAGAGGCTCCAAGTTGGCACCTCTTTGTGCCTCAGTGATTCAAAATGGATATGGCACACCCATTACAGAACTGATTTCTAGCAAGCGTGATGGGACTATTGTAATTGGCTTACTAAAGCTTCTCAAACTTTATTGTGTATAGGTATTGCCTAGGAATCTTGTTAAAATGCAGATTCTGATTCAGTGAGTCTGGCAAGGGGCCAAGATTCCCATTTCTAACAAGCTCCCAGGTGATTAGAATGGCTGTTGAGGTGTCAATTACAATGTCCACCTTAACTACCAAGCACACAGGATATTAATATTAGCCGAGGAGTGCATTCTTTCTTTGTAGGTAAATCTAAAGAGAAGCCAATTATAATCAGAAGTGCTTAATGAGCATGGCAGATTGCAAAGCATATGTGAAGGCACAGAAGCAAAAAACTGCTTGCAGAGGGAATCATGAGCTACAGAGATAGGGACAAGCAGAGTCAGATCAATAAAGGGCTGGGCTTTAATCTGTGTCCTACAGAACACAAAACCATGAGAATCTCTGAAAAGGAGTCTTCTAGGGTCAAATGTGGTTGGGAAGTTGCATACTATGTCCCTCACTTGGATATTTAGAAGGCCTATTTTGATTTTAAAGGTGCTAAGAGTCTACCTGCAGTAAAGAAACCTTTTCTCAAATAGACAATACTTCATTGGCAGAACAGGCTATTATCAAATTTCAGTGCAAAATGAAAATGAAGGGCTGCTTTTCCAAAAACCATTAAGACTTTTTGGATGTGACAAGAGCATTAAATCAATTATAGAAGGAATCCTTCTAATTGAGGCCTTGTGCAAATACCTATAGCCAGCCTTGCTTTTGGGGATACTGGCGGCATTAAATGACAAGTACCTGCATGCTCTAAGCATCAAATAAATAATAACTATGATGCACAGAATGGCTTTCAGCTAGAACTCTTGGTTGTAGCAGAAACCCACTTTATCAAGCTTTAGCAAAAAAGCAGAATTTGTTATAAGGATCCAGGCATGTTTTCAGATTCCAACTGCAGAGGCAGCCAATCAGGCAGAGGAACAAGTAGAAGTGAAACACTATCAGGACTCTATTATTCTCTCTCAATTCCACTCTTCTCTACAGGTTCTGTACTTATATGGTGGGGCAAATTAGTCTAAAAGATTCAAGTGACTTCCTAAGTGATATTGGGGGCTCTTGGTCCCAATTCCATATTCTGAGGTATAGCCTCTGATTGGTCTATGTATTTCCACCCATACTAAACAACTGTATGTAGACTCTTCTGCTTTAGCAGCCCAATGGAAAGGGAAGAAGGCAGTCAAAATGTATATGTCCCAGAACCTCCCACATTCATTTGATGACAGGACAGCTTTTTCTTTTCCATTATTGGGGATTCAACTCAGGGGTGCTCTATCATGGAGCTACACCCCTATCCCTTTTAATTTTTTCTCTTGATAGGGTCTTGCTAAGCTGCAGAAGCTGGCTTTGAATTTGTGATCCTCTGGTCTCAGTCTCCCGAGACACTGGGGTTACAGTAGTGTGCCATTGTGCCTGGTTGTGGGGCATTTCTTAAAACAACATCTATCACAATGAACAGAGCACACACATGGGAAATGTTAGTGCAGATGTTAGGAGATGAAATGCTTGAAGGAGGTAGTGCCATGAAATGGATTTGCATATTTACATGGCAGTGAGCAGAACTGATTGGAGGGAGTGAGACCAAAGACAGGAAGGCTGATTACAGGCCCACTACAGAAATTCAGACCTGGGAAAGAAACTTSTATCAGTGGGAAGACTGAGGAAGAAACTGTCTCTACAGAAATATTTAGGAAGTAAAAATCTGCAAGGTTTGGCAAAGTTATTTGTGTGGAGAGTGGGGGAATAAGAGGAAGAAATAAGGCAGGTTCTGAGGAGTGATTTGGGGGATGAGTAGGTGAAGATAGTGCAAGAGTTGGGCTTAAGGGATGGGTGTAACTTTAGTTCTTAATGTGTTTTGTGACAGGAAGAAATGGTTAAATGGAAACATCTAGAAGCCTGAAATTCAGGCTGGAGATGAAGACTTGAGATGATGTTATGCTTTGCATGGGTCTCCAATTTCATGTGTTAGAAACTTAATCCCCAAAGCAACAGGGTTGGGAGGGGAAGGCCTAATGAGAGGTAATCAGGTCATAAGTGACCTGTCCTCAAGAAAGGATTAATGTCATTATCAAGGGAGTGTGTGTATCTAGAGAATGGGTTGTTATAAAAGCAGTTGAGTTCCCATTCTCTCTTGGCCTTTGGTATTCTACCATAGGATGCCACAGCTCGAAGGCCCTTGTCAAATGGCAACAACTTAGTATTGGACTTCCCAGCCTTCAGAATTGTGAGAAATTTTTTTTTCTTTACAAATTAGTCAGTCTGGCATTCTGTTAAAGCAACACAAAACAAAGACAGATGGATTTCGATGTCAGTCATTTCTTATAAAAAAATCTAAGCGGCACTAGGGGACATAACATGGAACAAAATGCACATGGCACTTGCCCTGGTGGAGCTTACAGTTGCCTGGTGAAAACTGTACATTAAGCAAGGTATTTACAAGGCCCTGGATATTTATGAAGTACAGAATGTCAGACTCGGGAACTGTGCAAACCGTAGAGAACAAGCTCCACACATGCGTGCCCATGCCCATGCCCCTGATCTCCCACATTACAGTTGTGACAAGGGCACAAGTTGGGTCCAAACCGTTAAGTAATCACTTCTCTGCAGATTCTAAGCCAGAAGGGCTACACCTCACCAGGGCAGGTTTGGAGTCTCCAACTAGCTCGTAAACTGGGAAGGAGAATGCATTCAATCTGTGGTGAATATACAGCTCAAGTAAGAACCAGTGAACAAGCTGGAGACCTCTGTTACCTTTGTACTTAAACTGGTCAAACACATGGGGCCCACAATTTGTTCAGAGCTGGATCCACTTGTTCAGGGAGCAGCCACCAGGAGAGTGACAGTTCACTTACACGGGTGCAATTTTCAACCCATATGCATCTTCAACATCTGGGTGGAGGGAGAGGTAAAGGGTCAAAACTAAAGCCTTATATTAACGTCCAGCTTTTGTGGGAACCAGCATCCCCAAGGCGAAATCGCGGTACCCCCCGAGTTGGGGGCGTGAGCGCCCACACCTACAGCAGTTGGAGGAGAACAATGAACTACAGGGGAGGCAGCTGAACTACAGGGTGAGCGAATTCGGAAATCCAGGCCCCACGCGGGCAGACAGCGGAACACAGCGTTCCGAAACTCCACGCCTGCGCCGTCCGCGTGCCCCCACTGGGAGTCGTGGCTGGGCATAGGAAAGCGCAAGTAGCCAAGGCCCAGACTCAACCGCGAGCCCGCAGGTGGAGGGCGGGGGAGCGCACGAGCGTGAACGTGCGCACGCGCAGAGCGCTGTCGGCCCGCGCCCGGAGCGCGGGAGAAGAGACGCAGACCTCAGAGAGGAGCCGCGCCTCGGTGAGTGCTCCCCCTTCCCCTTTCTCCCGGAGTGCCTTGCGCGCGCCGGTGGGCGGGGGGGAGGGGAGGCGGCGGTGGCAGCCATGTTGTTGTGAGTCTCTGTGTCTCACCCTCGGTACTTCGGTGGTTCGGAGGAGGAGGAGGAGGGGGAGGAGAAGGAGGAGGTGGGGTGGGGGGGAGGGAGGTAGGAGGAGAAAGAAGACATTGCCGCCACCGAAGGCGGAGGAGGGGGAGGACGGCCAAGAGCGACGCCGCCGGTGCCCAACGGTCGGTGTTCCCGGCTGAGGCAGCGCGGCCGCAGCAGCCCTGTAAGTCAGCCCGCGCGTGCTTCCTCGCTCGTCCTTCGGCGCCGCGGGGGCTGGCTCCRGGCTTTGTGTGGCGGCCTCGGCGGGAGCAGACCGCCGGCGGGAGGGCGGACGGGGCCTGCGGGCGCCGGTGCCGACGGCGGCCTGGGCCCGCTCGCACAATGCAGGGGGAGGGGATCCGGAAGGGGGTGTGCGCGGCGCGGCCCTCCCGCCGCCTCCCCCGCGCCTCCGCCGGCCGGGCCCGGGCCCGCCACCGCTTCTCGCTCGGCTCCCGTGCGTCGGTGTCGGAGACCCCGAGTCTGCCCGCCACCCGCCCCGGCGCTCGGGGCTCGGAGAGTGGGGGGAGGCTGGGTGGATCGCGAGCAGCGTGCGAGGTGGAAGTGAAGAGGAAGAAGTGGGTTCGTGAAAACAAGTGTGGGGATCCTCGAGGGCCCCGCCGTCCAGGAGGAGCTTGGGGCAGACCGATGTGGGTGTGAAAGAAACAGTGACTCGGGTTCGTGTTGTTTAGGTGCCACTCGTAAGGAATGTTCTGTTTTGTTCGAGGAACAGATTTCCATACTCAGAAAAATATGTAAATCAAAACCCAAGGCAAGGTAAGCGGCTTCAGGTACTGGAGCAGTAGTTTTGTGTCTGAATGGGGTCAAATTTGGGGGAAATCCATTGTGAAAAGTTATGGCCACACACGTGCAGGTTGGTGTTACTTCTGAGAACACAGCGGGAGAAAACCCACTTTTCTTAGCTTTACATTCTAATGTTTAAACTTTTGGGGGAAGGGCATGAATCGCCGACATGTTAGGTGCAATAAGACAAATCACCTCGAGACTTGGTACTTAAGAAAACTAGTGGCGGAATTTTTTTTGATTAAAAAACTTTAAGGAAAACGCTTAAGAGAAATATAATACCAGTAAAGATATTGTATGTCAAGAAAGCAATTTTAATAAAGGGAGCTACCCTTAGAATTTTCAGGGCTTGTTCCTTGCTTAGGTTTGTGTTGCATAGGTGACTCTTCACCATGTGACCAGGAGTGTTAGTGTATGGTTGAAGAAATTCTGGCCAGGAATCCTGTTAAAAATAGAATGATGAATATTTTTAATTGGTTAGTAAGTTTTTGTTTTTATTCACTTAGTATCCATTCTGCTTTTTAAAACTATTTACTTCATGAGTAAATAAAATAATTGATGGTATTTCCCTCATGTCAAGACTGTCTTTCAAATTCCAATATTTGATGAAGTTGTGTAGATCTATCCAGTTTTGCTTTTGGTTTGGTATTTTTGAGGGCAGTTATTTAATACACCAAAAAAGTTACACTAAAATTAAAGTTATATATCAGAAASCTTCAGACTAAATTCAGGTTTTTTTCCTTCTAAGTTTTTTTATTATTGGGTTCCTGTATAAGTCTAGCTATTTTTACCTTCCAGGTAGATTTGCCATTAACAAATTTAAATCCCCTAACAATTTTAGTGGTTTAGTTTTAACATAGTCTCCTTAATTTGTCTAGAGTTCACAATTCCCTTAAATGTTTCAATGTTCAGTGAGATTTCAAAGTAACTTTTTAAAGAATCCAAAAATTAAATACATTTAAATTGATTTTTACAAGGCTAAATTTTCTTAGGCATTACAAATGTATACAATTCAGTCAACACAGATATTSATATTTGAATTTTGTTTTTCTTAAATTTTTCCAAACTTGTTTAAAATCTTTCTGATGGTTAAAGATAATTTATCTCCCAGAATATACACTTATCCAAGTTAGCGAAAGTATTTATGAGCAGAAATTTGGACCAGGTGGTGACATTCAGAGCCGATCTTTGTGATCAGACAGCCAGCCTCCTTTATGCTTTCCTGGTGCTGGAAATAGAAGGAACCCAGGGCCTTGCACATGCTGGGCCAGAGCTCTGCCACTGAGCTACATCCCAACTCTGCCTCCTTTTTAAAATTAAGAAGTCACTAACAAAGTCCTCATAATTTTAAGTGGAGGTTGGTTCCTATCTGCTGAACTCAGGTKTATGTATTTTGTGGTTTAAAGATTTTGTTGAATTTCGAGGATATGAAAATATTCTGTATTTTTTCATATTAAAATTAATGAGTACAACTAAGCTAAACAGAATTTAAAAAAAATAATAAACTACAGTATCTGAATATTCAAATGTCACATGGCTTTGTTTGACTTGAATTCACAGCTTGAGGCCATTTTGCTAACAGGTGTGATTAAGATAAAAATTGTACGTCTATCTGGGCAAATTGATTTGTGACCTATTAAATAGGTTTCTTGCTGTTTATAAAAAGGCATAACAAGTCTGACTTGCCTCCTATTATCCTTCTCATTCTTCCATTTGGTGAATTTTTAAGAGGGAACTGATCCAGTATGACTGAGGCCCTTCCTCCCTTTCTTTTTGGGAGCCTGCCCCTGCAGAAAACTTTGTTTTGCCTCTTCCTGTATCCACAAGGGATAGACTCCCTTTTTTGTAGAGGAGAGTACGGTAGTTGTCCAGTGCTACTCATGACTGGATTCGAATAATTAGGGGACATGATGTTAGGAAACTCACTTGGCGTATACCTAATTTAAGCCTTCCATTGTGGCTCTATCTGGAGTAAAGGAGATGCTTGCATTACCCTCAGTCTTTTTGTCTTTTACTCAGTTCTGAATTCTGGTTTGGTAGAAAAAAGTTTCCTCAAATCTTATTATTCAGAAGCTAATATTTTAATAGTGATTTTTATCTCTGACAGTATATAGACAGAAAACAGTTTTCATTAAAAACTTTGTGCTGGGCTGGGGATGTGGCTCAAGCGGTAGCGCGCTCGCCTGGCATGCATGCGGCCCGGGTTCGATCCTCAGCACCACATACAAACAAAGATGTTGTGTCCGCTGAAAACTAAAAAATAAATATTAAAATTCTCTCTCTTTATTCTCTCTCTCTCTCTCTCTCTCTCTTAAAAAAAAAAAAACTTTGTGCTTTGTGTGTTGAAAAGTGCATTTATGGAGAGAGATTTTTCAAGCTTTTACAGTAAATGAAGCACTACATTTATACAGGAAGGTGTATGATAAATGAATTTTCTTAAGAGTTTTAGATAGCATTATGTTTAGAGACACAGTTAATAGTTTTTAAGTGATTTTTCCCCCTTCCAGTAAGTCAAAAGATAAACTTCTTTATTATAAGTGAAAAATTAACATTTGGCATAATTAACAAGTATCACCTAGAGAGTGATTTTAATTCTTAGTGGAATTGTAGATAACATTTGTCTTTCATTGACTTTTTTTTTTTWWTGGAAAGTTTTGTTTGATTCTTGGCAGATTCATTTTTATATTTTGCTGTGTTTTAAAGAATTTAAAATGATTGGTCATTCAAGCATGTTGGCAAGAGGATTGTTTTCACTCTGCATATTTAGCTACTGTAATCCTACTGATTTTCAGGTTACATATCTCTGGTTTTCACTTAAATTCTTTATTCTATCACTTGTGAAGGACATAAGACGTGAGTACTAAGAAACATCCACATATGCACACATTATATCTCCAAAAAAAGAAAGTAATATGAAATGATAAAGGAAAAGAGGAATAGTTGACAAGTCAATGTTTTGATTTAATGCAAATAAGACGGGTAGAGAAAAACATTATCTATCTACTTGACAGATATATATTTGAAACATGGTAGCCTTGAAAAAAGAGTTGGTGGACTTGGCTATACAATGGTACTAAAAACTATCTAGTTAATATCTAGGAAAATAGAATGTTAACACTCAACATCTACAATGTGTGGTGGAATGGGAAAGAAAGGAAGGATTGTGTGTGAGTATATATGTATTCATTCCTGAAAACACCAATAAATATGTAGAAGACTTGGTTTGAGAATAGATCTTTGTGATTTCTGTTTTAGTGGTAGACATTTGAAGAATACGAATTCTAGTTTTTAATCTGATTCTTGATTTTAGGCATTGTTTCGAAAGACTTATTAGGGATCAATGAGATTGTTTTAACTATGCACAATTTTTTATCCATCTAAATGTTAAAAGACCTTTACTAGGCAGTCAAATGAGGCAAATTGTAGGTAGAGAAAATATGGTCTGTTTTGGATTTTGTTAACCACCAGAGAAACTATATACAGAAAAGGAGATCACTTGAATATCTCCATAGTATTTTACCAGAACTGTCTGTGTAATTAAATGCAAAGCATTGAAGTTTTCTGTAATAAAACTCAAAAAAATCTTTAACACCAATTCAACATGAACCAGTTTAGTTTTGACATTACGAGAGGAATGATGGCTCCAGGTTTTACCTGTTTCTTTTTCTTTTTCTTGTTGTTGTTCTTTTTTTTGTACCAGGGATTGAACCCAGGGGCACTTATCCACAAATCCACATTCCTAGGCTGCCCTCCCTCCCGACCCTTGTTTTCAAATTTTGAGACAGGCCTTTCCTTCCTAGGTTGCTTTAGGACCTTGCTAAGTTACTAAGGCTGGCCTCAGCCTCCCAAGTTACTGGGATTATAGGTGTGGGCCTCCATGCCCTATTCTTTTGATTTCTAAATTACATGATTTTTACATCAGCAAAAATAGAAGTACTCTAGGCTCTCACTAAAGATACATGGCCATTTTTTAAATTATAATTCTTAGGGAGGAAATATTCATGGAGTATTGTTTGAAGAGCATTCAGTATATTTGTTAGTCTGAATATTGTTAAGTTGTATCTCTTCATCAGGATGGACTACCGAAACCTGCACACATATTTAAGGTTGCAGGCCTATCTTGTGCCAAATTGTCCTTGGGTTTTGGTGATAATACGGTCCTTGACCTTGAGGAATTCACAGTAAAGTGTAGAGAAAGAATTAAACTTTTAATTATAGTGCAGTACACTACCATTATATCTACACATATCTCCAAATAAAAAAAAAAATAATATAAAATGTGAAAGGAAAAGAGGAATAGGTGACAAGTCAGTGTTTTGATTTAATGTAAATAAAGACGGGGGTAAAGAAAATCATTATCATCTACTTGATAGAATATATGTT